GAAGTTGGGAGTTGCGAGGGATGTCTTCTTCAGAGGAGAAAGGAGCAGTTCTCGCAGAGCAGAAACCAAGAAGCACGGACGAACGACCCATCGCCGAATTGGAACTGAAATGCTTGAGAGAGGATGCAGAGCAACAGGAACTTGATGGCCGATTGATGGATGAGATCTTGGGGAAAGGGGCAGAGCCAAGGAAGTTCACTTTCAAGGAAGGTTGTGGTCGAGATGCCAATGTCGTCGGCCAATTTGGTGACGTTGGAAGTCCGATCTGGAAACAGAGTGGTCGGAGCGGCAGTTCAAGTTTTTGTGATAATTTCTTTTTTTCATTTTTTATAATTATAATTTTTTTATATTGATGTGTAATTTCTAAAAATTTAATTTTTATTTTTAAATTATTTTTTATTTGCCACGTCACACATTTAACGGTCAACGGTCAGAGTTGACCGCCACGTCAGTCAAAGTTAGCGGAGGTTAACGGAGAGTGACCGAACTTGAACTGTTCAACTAATTCGAGTGACTATAAATGGAATAAATTAATTTGAGTGGCAAACGTGAAATTTTATAGCAATTCGAGTGACCAATCATGCAATTAAGCCAAAAAACCGGCCAATAGGGAAGAAGCCTTTTGTGGACTGGAGTCTCTGGAGTCTTGCTGCTGTGGGGTGCAATTATGGGCCCAAATAAAGCCCTCTCCGTCCCCATATTCCACTCCCAATTTGGATCGTTATTTTAACCTGCATACCCCTCCGTGCCCTGCGCAGGAGGCTGGGAAATTCCAATTAATGGGTTCCTGAAAGAAAGTGAACCTCCATATAGTATTTGTAGGAGGATAACGTCCACCAGCTTTCAAGTTTCCCAAAAGTATGCATGGAAACACATCTATCACACCCATAATAACATAAACCCAAAAACGTAACACCATTTATTCTTTTCCTATCTATTAGGGCTAGCTATTTGGACCGGGACCGGATGAAAAACCGGAAACCGGACCGTATAACTCGGACCGGGACCGGACCGGGACCGGATAGTAAACAATCCAATCCAATCTTTGGGCTTAGATTTTAGGTAAAAAAGCGGATAAAGACCGGATAAGAGAGCTCAACACCCAAAACTTAAGGGTAATTTGCATAAACGGTCACAAACCTTTACACTTAGTACAAAACTTAACCAACTCCTCACCCTTTTAGGCCTTAGGCCACTCAAATTCCCACAATCTCGATATAAAATCAAGACCGAATATGGACCGGGTCAAGACCGGACCGGATCAAGACCGGACTGTATCCAATCCAATCTTCGGTCCTTATATTCTCAAAAAAACCGGACTGGACCGGATCAATTTGGGCCAATTTAACCGGACCGGACCGTATAGCCACCCCTACTATCTATATCGCTAATCTCTCTCTATATATACACACACAACAGAAACAAAGTTACCATACGTATTTATTCACCCACAATGAAGTCGAGCAACATAACAATGCTAACGAGGGTGGCGGTGGCGATCGCCCTCTCCCTGGTGGCCGCCGTCGCCAAAGCAGAGGATGGCGAAGTAGAACCAGCGGGGTTCCTGCCGAAGAAGACGACGGTGACGATCACCAACAGGCTGGAGAGCCAGGTGGAGCTGACGGTGCATTGCAAGTCCAAGGACGACGACATCGGGGTCAAGGTGCTGAGTTACAACCAGGAGTTCGGGTTTCACTTCAGGGCGAACATATTTTTCACGACTCGGTTCTACGGCTCGTTCGAGTGGCCGGACGGCGGCGGGATCCACTGGTTCGATATTTACAAGCAAAATAGGGATTATTCGGTTTGCAAGGACTGTCAGTGGATTGTGAAATCGCTTAGTCCATGTAGGTTTAATGATGTGACTAAAGCTTATGACGTCTGCTATGAATGGAATAAATCAAAGGTCTGATTAATGAAATAACAAAATCATCTAATAATTAAGGAGAATAGTCATACTGTCGTATATATTATGAAAGTAATTAACCAAGCGCCACAGTTGACCAATAACCAATTGACAATCTCCACAACAATTCGGAACAGAAAAACCATGGTTCAAACACCACTATATAAAATTCCTAAATGGAGGGATCGACGAGACACTACGTGAAAAAGGCCCTATGCCGAGGGTTAGGTAGCAGGGGTTCAATAAACCCTTGCTAATTTTTCCGCAATTCATTGTACCAGCAATTTGTTCCAAGGGTTTGGAAACCCTTGCTACAAACATAACTAAACTCGGCGAGAAATCCTCTTCCCTTTTCCGATCTGGAAATATATGGCCTTTCAAAACAGTGTTTCCTTCGTCGATCCGAGTTTGCTTCTTTCCCAAACGGACCCAGAATTGAAAATTACAAAATCAAAGCAACGCAATTCCAATTTTCTTCTTCTCCAACCTCTGCCTCGCTCGAAGCCATGCGATCCTCTGAACTCTTGCTCGAAGCGACGCGATTCTCTGATGTCTCCCTTGCTCCCAGTGATGCGCTCCTCCGGTGTCTCCCTCGCTCCAAGCGATTCGATTTTTCAGTCTCTCCCTCACTCCAGTGAGATTCTCCAACCTCGTTGTCATTCTGGCTTTATAAGGCTATATCTCTCTAGGCCAGGTGCACTTTTCGCGACTGTAGATTGATTTTAGGTTTCGACGCCATGCATATTATAGATTAGATTAGACTAGAATGCTCTGTAATTTCTTTGATTCCCCTTCTCCCTTCGTGCTCTGTATTTTCTCCAATTCTTCTTTTGAGCTGCAAATTCGGGAAATCTTGGCTCGAGTTTTAGCTTCCTCTCTAAGCGTGACGGGATGGTTCAACTTCTCGAGAGTCCACTTGTGCGGGACGTTGACAGAAAGCTTTAGAGAGTCAATCTCGGTGCAACTCCAGCTTTCCTCAGGCTTGTGTTCCACTATTGATTCATTGACCTAACAACAATTAGGTAGTATATCTTCCCTTTCTTTTCTCCCGTATTGTTTTTCATTCAAGACGTTGTTCATGTTTGTAGGTTGAGTTGAAAATTGGGGAGTTTCTCGACTTTATGCTTATGTCCGTCATGAATTTGGATGTATGTCTGTTTCTAGCTCTAGCATTGAGGGTGATAAGATTCAGGGTTTGAGTTCAGGTGACAAGTATTTTTATCTTTATTGCAATACAGTTTTTGCTTTCATTGTTCTTGATCAATAAGATAATTGAGGGTACATAGATCCTCCTCAATTAGAAAAGAGCATCTATGTTTTTAATCAGATTCGACTTAGATGTATGTTTCTTAGTTAGAGGGCAGGCTCTGGAGTGCCTTCTGCTAACATTCTTTAACAGATTAGTATGCTTTTGAATTCCTCCGGAGTTTGATTGTATTGTCTTTATCCTTTACAACCAACTTTGCAGCTTGGTGTTGCAAGCATTTATGGATGGTTTATATTACCCATCATTTGAACATCTGATGTAGTCTCATCTACATGGGTTGGTTTGGGTTTGATTCCAGGAAGTGAATGAAATTGAGGTCGACAGAGGAGTTGCAGGTTGATAGCCATGAGAGTAAGGAGAGCCCTTCTTGGTTGAAGGCAGTTATAGCGGCAGGGTAAACATAGATGATATTTAGGAACAGGAGGAAACCTGTAATGGGCCTAATGACATTTTTTTACATCGTTTTGGTAAGTATTGGCTTGCTCTCTTTTAGCTCGTCACTGTTTTGTCTCTGAAATCCTTCTGAAACTTATAAGGCACATTGTGTTGAATTCTGCAGTAAAAATACAGGTAGTTTTGGTAAAGTTACGCAGAAGATGCCACCGTAATTAGTACTGAGTGGTGACAACATAGGTTTGGCTCGTTATGAAGTGGTCCACTTAAGTTCCATTGCTTGACAGTGTTGGTTGAAGAAACAAAAAGATGTATTGGATTCTGATACGCAGGGACCTGCAGACACTATAATGTGGACTTCTGGGCTCGTCTTTGGGATAGGAGAGGTAACCTATTTAACCACCATATATGACCTTTTTGTTCTACTACAGTTAAGAGTTATCCATGTTTACTCTTTTATCTTGCTCTTCTTCTACTCTCATTCAAGGTATTGTTGTCTTGGAAACAGAATATGACACCATTCACGTCATAGTAAGCCTTCTTCTTTTCATGGTTTTGGTCAGTTTAGTTGTCTGGCATGCTTAATTTGGTTGGTGAGATGAAGAACATTGCTAGATAGAGATTATTTTGGAGCTTCAATTGAGTTTTGGTCTTCATCTCACGTGAATGATGCTTCCTTTGAATGATTTAGTGCTTTCTTAATATTTTTGCAGCTTGTTCTAGACTGTACACCACATTATGTAGCTTACATATGGAGCTGTTAACATTTCCCCACTATGCTCGCAAACAACAATGTTTTCTCACTGAAGATGCTCACACCAATCCTTTGCCTCGTCTACTTCGAGAACCACCAGAAGCTCTGAACTTCATTGCTACTTGTTTTCATCTTTCTGTGTGGCCTGATACATTGAGTGAACTCCAACAAGTTCTCTAATTCTGTCAATTTGCCTCTTAGCAGTAAATCAAGGAACGATTCCAGCGATTTTTGTGTAGCTCCTATTTTGGCGACATGGGAGCATGCCACGGTGAGTTATTCTCTTTCTTTCTACTATTCTGGCTACACAATGAAGTTGTTTTTGGCTTAAGATGATCATCTAATATTATATAAGTAAATCTCGAATTTAGGTTCATGTTCTGAAAGAAGTGAGTGTATGTCAGCTACCTTTTCCTATTTCCTTATTGCTTCCAGTTTCTCATATTGGGTAGGATTATGATGCTCTGTCGCTGTCTTTAGTAGAAAGGCCATGAACGCTGATAGCAGCAACTTTCAGGTTCCATATAGCTTTCAGGTTAAGCTCTATTCCGAATTTCATTCTCTACAACATTCTATGTTAGATGAATTCTTGAATAGTTCCCTGGATTCTGCTGTTCTGCGCCGACTCTAACTTCCTCCCCACCCTGAATTTTCGGTTGCTTTGTTTGTTTGATGTGTGTAGTTGGTACTTGACATGGTGCAAGTCATTCTCCATAGCACTCTCTCGGTTACAGGGTCTAATCAACTTCACTTTTTGTGTAATTGATGTCTAATCCTGTTCATATATGTTTTTGGAATCACGGTCTATATTAGAAAGGAAAGGTTATGGATGGCACTCTTTTGTTGTTTTTGCAGGTGGATAATTATATTATTGGAGCCCTATGCGGAGTGATGAACCAGATGGCTTCAGCATGTGGTGAAAATAACAAATTTCTTGCTATGGTGTGCCAGGTAATAGCTGCCCATACTTAATTCTTTTCATGTTTTCATTGTCAAATGCTATTGCCTCATAACATTAGTAGAAGCTCCTGGACCATAAGTACTAGCTAGCAGACTCCAAACATTATGTTGCCGACTAGACTTTGCTCGTCATACTTAATTCTCTTCTCTTTTTGTTTTACCCTTTGATGCATGGAATTGGTTTCTGACCTGAAATGCTATGAAATTCAAAGTTCTGTTTGTTTAACGCATATAATATCTTTTTTATTTGGTGGTTAATTTATTAATGATAGGTCATGTTGGCTTAAAACCCCACTTTTACTGGTCTTTTAATTTGCAGGCACTACTTGGACAAGTGTTGCTTGTAAAAGACTTGAAGATAGTTACTTTATGGTCTTTTGGTTCTTAGAATGTTATGTATAGTAGACAATGTTTCTATGGATGTTTGAATATTTATGATAATGAACATTTAGCCATGTGAACAAATTAACGACATATATGAAAAAATTAAGAAGCAACAAGCTTGGTTGTAGGTTTTGTCTATAATGACCAGATTATTAGTAACAACTTATAGCCACCAGATATGGGAAACATTAACAAGCAACAAGCTTTGTTGTGGGTTTGTCTATAGTGACCAGATTACTTGCGACAAACTTATAGCCACCAGTTTGGGTTCTCTTTAGTGACAGTCTTGAGTTTACAAGTCTCTCTTTAGCGACAGATACAACTCGGTTACAAATTGATTTAGTCAGGAATTAACCCTTGCTAGTTTTAGTAACGAATTTTCCAAGGGTTCTAACCCGTGATACATACATCTCACTATTGTATTTTACATTGTTGTGTAGCAGGGGTTTTAACCCTTGATACATGTACCAGGAGTTAAAACCCCTGCTAAAACCCCTGGATGGGACTTTCACCGTGGGTTGCTAAAAACCCTTGCTACACCTAGCAGGGGCAGCATTGGCGAGGGTTTGTGCAGGGGTTGCAAAAACCCTTGCTACAACTTGTAGCAGGGGTTTAAACCCTTGGTATAGGTGAAAAAAACCCTTGCCATAGATCCAATTTTTTGTAGTGAGAGGGTGGATTCCGATGAAAAGGATTGGGGACAGTCGTTCAAGGTGACCATCGGCGATGGGGGGCCGTCATTGACGAACTCGCCGGCGAGTTTAGCCATTGAGAACGACGATGCGCAATTTGCGTCACTGCACCTGTAAAAGATAATTGCGATAATAGTTAAGTTTTTGAAACAAGATCTTTTTAAATTAATTAATTCATTTCTTAATTATCACCATTATGATTTCCGTTGCTAGTTATTAGCCTTTACTATTCCCTTAATTTACGTTCTCATCAATAATTATCTTTTAGTAATCTAATTAATTTTCCTTTTATATTTATGACTGATATGAGTTTATTATTATTGACATTTCTTCGTTTGAACTTTTGATAGTCATTTATTTGGCTTTAAAGTAGGAATACATGTTCAAATTACAAATTTCTTTCCTTACTTTTTAAGTGAAGGGTATAAATGGATTCCTCCTGTTGTGTTTAATTATTATAGTAAATATTTATTAATATTTTGCACTCATTGATTATAATGTACAAATCTTTTAAGAGTTTGAATTATATCGTTGGTGGTGTATTTTCGATAATATCGACTTTGTTGTAAGGGCAAGATTTAATCTCTTATAATAGAGATTTCTAGCACCATAGTCGTGCCTTTTTTATTAGTCATTTGCATGTGCTCATCTGGTATGAAAATAATTGAAGGACGTGCAATAATCTTCATCGATCTATCAGGTGATTGTTCGATTTTATTCGCTTCATCAAATTTATGAGATCAATTAAACATGTTCTGTCAAAGATTGCTAATGCATTTTTCTTTTCTTTGTTGTGGTTTTTGTGGCAACTCGATACTGGTCATCTGACATACTTCGTCGAAGGAAACTACACTCGCTGGCGGGACTATCTTGGAGATGTTGAGTTTTTATTTTTGTTTTTCCCCCGTCAGTGTCGTGTCTTTGCTCCTTAGAGTTTCTTCAGAGATGCCCAAGTAGTGGCTTAACAAGATCTTTCATCGTAGTCTGGTTGCATACGGACTGTCGCGCAGTGTTTGAGTCGATCATGTAATCTTGTCGAGTCTTTGTCCCATGCCCTTTGGGCTTGCGTTGGAAAAAAAAAAATCCAGAATAAATAGGTCGGTGATACCTTCGTAGAAGGCCTGAGTTCAGGTCCTTAAGCCTCATTTTTTAAGGAGGATCTTAAAGCGTTGTGATTGGTTGATTTGGTTTTAGGTGGTTGGTAAGGAGTTATTAGTTGTCAAGGGTATGTTGGGAATTATAAATAATATAAAAACTGAATAATAAATCCTACTAATTTTCAAACCCACGTCTCGTTGGTTTTTCTCCCTCCCAGCGTAACAGGTTTTGTGTTAACCTGTCTCTTCGAGAGCAGTCTCCAGTCATCTCCGTCGTCGGGAATCTCTGTCTTTATTATCCTGGCCCAACTTCTTGTTCGCCCCAGTTTCCTGTACGGTCCTCGCTTTGTCCCCAAAATCCGTTCCCGACTTTGCTTCAGTCCGTCGTCTATCCTGTTCAGTTTGTCGTCGATCCCTGCTCTCTCCTCGGCGGCGTTCAAGGTAATCTTCGTCGCCTTCCAAGGATCCCGTTCACTGACGATGGTCAATATCTTTTCCCAATCTGTTTAATTAACGTTGATCATCGGAGATTAATCCGGGGGCATCCCCGGCTCTTTCACAAGTTTCTTCCCTCCCGACGAGATCAGACGAACGGATCGTGAGCCAACCCCACACCAACAAATATCATTGTTCATACCTCGAGCTAGATGGTACAAACAATTTCCATTATTAGCATACATACATTCTTTATTAATAATATCAGCTTCATTATCAATTTTACTAATCCCATTATCAATTATTTATTGTACTTTTCTTATCCCGCATTACAAAGATTGTTAAAACTAATAATGTGTGTTGAGGGTTTTTCACTAATACAGTTTATGATCAATTTACGTCGCCATGATTTGTAATCTTTTGAAGGGCTATGGTCAATATTTTTACCCGCTCAGTAGTCAATGTTTGTCGTATTGTGAATGTTGTCTGATAGGCCTATTAATTATGTTAGGTTGTGCTAGTAACTTTTTATTGTCGCTTTGTAATTGTTTTATCAATTTGTTGAAAATCGGTATTAATTCACTAATCAATTAATTAAAAGCCCAAGGGAACTTACTGTTCCTCACGAAATTAGCGCGCATAACTCTTTAGTTACTGTTCACCGAGGAATTATTGATATGCGGTGGATGCATTGTATAAGATTTTTGCCCATTTCCTTTCTTGGTAAATTTATTAGATGGGGGATTAGTTCACCGTGTGTTTATTATTATGCGTTGGATGAATCATATAATTAGCCCATTTCTTGGTGACTTTATTAGATGGGGCTTATAGTTATGCGTTACATTCTCAGTCATTACTGATGGTAAAGGAACTGTGTGAGACAAGTAGAGTAATACCCGCTCCAGGTACAGAGCAGGATGGGTCGATCCATACTTAGATGTTATTTGAAAATAAAACGCCGATATTGGATGAATCATATAATTAGCCCATTTCTTGATAACTTGATTAGATGGGGGCTTATTGTTATGCACTACATTATCAGTAATTACGGATGGCAAAGGAATGGTATGGGCCAGGTCGAGTAATACCCGCTCCAGGTACATGGTAGGATGGGTCGATCCATACTTAGATGTTATTTGAAAGTAGAACGTCGATATTTAACTCTTTTACAAGAAGGCACAGAGAAAAACTTCATAAATGAATGACAAATATAATATAAGGAATAATTGAGTATATAAGTTGAAATACATAGTTGATTTTTATGAAAATTGTAATAAAACGGGCCGAAAATTGGCAAGGGCGGGTCGAAAGCAATATCATGTTCCGCTCCATGCTATTGCGGGTCGAGTAATATCCGCCCCAAACAAGTCATAAATAAACACCATTACCACGAATATCCTTATGGATGCTAATAAAATTTATTAATCAAATGTAATACTTTAGGAATTCCAAAGGTTATGAAATTCTTGGGGATGCTTATATATATGAGATTTACCTAATAATACTATTATATCGTAAATTACAAATTTATCATGTACTAATGGTACTTTGATGAAATGAAAGAACTCATATACATAAAAAAAGCTTTGAATGAAAAAAATTTATTACAAAATATTTTACCATATAATAAATTTGTATTACACTAAAGTGACATATGTATAAATTAAGCAAATATTACACAAAAGTGGCATATGTTATTAACTTAAATTTTAACCATCTCATCAATTTGTATTACGCATAAGCTATTTAGTAAAATAAAACGTCGATATTGGATGAATCATATAATTAGCCCATTTCTTGATAACTTGATTAGATGGGGGCTTATTGTTATGCACTACATTATCAGTAATTACGGATGGCCAAGGAATGGTATGGGCCAGGTCGAGTAATACCCGCTCCAGGTACATGGTAGGATGGGTCGATCCATACTTAGATGTTATTTGAAAGTAGAACGTCGATATTTAACTCTTTTACAAGAAGGCACAGAGAAAAACTTCATAAATGAATGACAAATATAATATAAGGAATAATTGAGTATATAAGTTGAAATACATAGTTGATTTTTATGAAAATTGTAATAAAACGGGTCGAAAATTGGCAAGGGCGGGTCGAAAGCAATATCATGTTCCGCTCCATGCTATTGCGGGTCGAGTAATATCCGCCCCAAACAAGTCATAAATAAACACCATTACCACGAATATCCTTATGGATGCTAATAAAATTTATTAATCAAATGTAATACTTTAGGAATTCCAAAGGTTATGAAATTCTTGGGGATGCTTATATATATGAGATTTACCTAATAATACTAATATATCGTAAATTACAAATTTATCATGTACTAATGGTACTTTGATGAAATGAAAGAACTCATATACATAAAAAAAAGCTTTGAATGAAAAAAATTTATTACAAAATATTTGACCATATAATAAATTTGTATTACACTAAAGTGACATATGTATAAATTAAGCAAATATTACACAAAAGTGGCATATGTTATTAACTTAAATTTTAACCATCTCATCAATTTGTATTACGCATAAGCTATTTAGTAAAATGTGATGCTTTTCTAAACTTAATTTGTTTATTATTAACTAAGATCCCTTGATTATTAACTAAAAAAAATCATCATGTCAGCAATTACCATTACACAAACATTTCATAATGTCTATTAACGTTTAGATAATAATTTAATAAATTTTGATACTTTTTATGACTTGATTTTACTATTAGACCACATTATGGAAGATTTACGTAACAACATTGTATGATAGTTACATAAATGATAAATGCATTACGTAAAATTTATGGAGAGATAGTTATTTCTTATGTATAGATACATAAGTCTTCTTTAATAATTAAGGCACTACATAAAACGGATTGAAGTTATCAAAATGATAA